TAGCGATGGCCTCCAACCTTGTAGCGTCCTTGCTACTAGTAGTAATGCCCTTGTTACTAGTAGCGATGCCCTTGTTACTATCGCAGGACAAGAAAGACAGCGGCGGGATGGACCTTTGGTCCTCCGTGGGAGATGCATCCAGCAACTCAGCATATGGAGGTCCCAAAGCTCCGCAGGCAGGGAAGATAGGGGAAGATAGGTGAAGATGGGGTGGGGCAAGAGTTGGTCTTTGTGTTGAAAGAGCTTCCTGCCGGTGAGCCGGCGCATTGAGGTGTGGGGCTTCACCGAGGTTTTAGAGGGAAAGAGCAAGCGCTCGAGATGCCCACAAGATCACCTGGCTGAAAGGGGTCGGACCTCAGAATGTCCACCGCGCGATGTGAAACCCTAAGAATTGGGACAGACCTTCCATGCGAAGGGTGGTTTCTTACCCGACCTCTTAGAGGTCAAGGGTCCGGACCCAGAACCTTTCCATCTACAGTGCTTTCAGAGGTTCGATGCCAAGGAACTGGGTAGTTTTCATTATATGGACCCCCCTCTGTCTAAGACATCTGGATCATCCTGGGTTGCCATGGGGTGCCCTCTTGTTTTACTGTGAAACCACTGTCATATGTCGTTCATCTCTCCAGCGCCTGAAAGTCGATCCTTCGGAACGCGTCGTAGGAGCCGGGGTCAGTGGCACGGCGAGACGGCAGACGGCACTCGGTCACCGGAGTCGTTGGTGCCTGGTGAGGACAAAAGAGAGAAGATCGTGGAGAAAGGTCCCATGAAAATCGATGCTGCACCTGTGCCCGGAGTCATGGATGCCATTAACCAGACGTTGAAGAAGCAAAAGGAGGCCGGGGGTGCCGGGAAGGTACCTGGTGACATTTGGTGACGGTCACTGGTCAGTGTATCGATGTGTTGTCGACCAGGGCCTACAGTCGTGGTTTTGGAATATTTAGACACCTTGATGGCTGGATGTGAATCCTATCGACCATATATATATATAGTTAATTATAGTTATATATATATATACAGTTGTATATATAGTTATACATATATACCCGGAATCTGAAGGACCTCTATTTTGGACCACCAACCACCCAAAATGTGTGTTTTTTTCGTTTCAAAACAGAGGTCCAATGGGTTCCAGGTCATCATCTCTTCCTCCCGCGGAGCGTCTCGTCCGCCCCGACCCCTTGGAACCTGGAGGCGAAGAAGGAGGAACACAGGCGCCGGGACTCCGCGTGGACCCACCGGAAGAAGCCACAGGGCTTGGACGTTTTTTTCTGCAGCAGGCGGACTGCAGCAGATGTGTTTTCACAGGTAAATGGTGAAAGTAGAGGGTTGTTATCACCTTTTGTTTGCTAAGCAGGTGGACATGTTTCATGGTGTTTACATGTGTTCATTCTGTTCTATTTTGAGGTAAACCAGGGTCCCAGAATTTTGCACAGCCACAGGTTGGAAGCAGAGAAGAAGGCCAAAGCCATGAAAGCCTTGAGAAGGGTGGCGTGCTAGCAGTTCACAGCAAACACGATCTTGTTGGGAATTCCAATGTGGGTGGTTTTTAGAATCATGCATGGGAGCCCCTACCCTCAAAATCACGTCCACTTTTGGACCAGTATCCGTATCAGTAGATTATACAAAAGATGATTTCCCATGATCAACATCCACAGACGTGAATAGGAGATGGATGGAAGTTTTGTGAGATGTTTCTTGGGAGTGTTTTGCAACGATTGGTTCCAAGGTTCTGCGAGTTTCTCGTCTCTTCCCAGTGTGGCCCTGATGACCTGAGGAAGAGGAAATCAAAGATGAAGAAGACGACACATACCAGATCCTAGTGCCTCCGGCATTGTTCATGGTGGAGACCAACAGGGGATGGTTGGACCCACTTTCAATCAGACCTAGGACTTTTTAGAGGATGGTTGGGAATGGTGGGATGACCATATATATGTATTTAATGTCAAGAATGTGTCATTGCAGTGGATGTTCGGGAGGGCCAGTTCACTCTAGTTCCCACTTGTGCACTGTCGGGATAGGGGTTGGTTTTCGCGCACTGTCAAAAGATTCCAGGAGCAACACCATGGATATGAATTCTGGCCGATGTTCACTGATCGAACTGGGGCTCATGGCTCGGTTTGGGATCCGAATTCTGTCGGATGGGTCATGAAAGCGTCATGGCTCTCGAGCCAGAATGAGAGCCGAAGTGATCCCCTTCCTCCTCGTTCTCCCCTCCCCTACCGGTGGTCCGCAGAACTGGCAGCGAACACTCGCAGCTCGCGGACCGGTTGGACCTCCTTCGATGCTGTGGGGGAGGAAACTGACTGCTTTTCGGTGACTGAAAAAGGGTTCGACTCGTGGTCGTCGAATACGTTCCGAGCTGCGGTGTTTCACTCCTCGACACGACGAGGTCCGCTTTGCGCCACAACTTAGGGAGTCAGGAACGGTCCGCCTGTAAACCGCGGAACACACGGTGCGCCAGGACGACAAGGGCCTTGGTAACTTTATGGTCCGAACGCCCAGAACGGCCGCGAAAAGCAGATCGGACGACTCGACAGCGTGGACTGACCACGTGGAGGGTGGGCGGAACTGAGCCACGGACTGGTGAGCCATCGATCTCCACGGACGCCTCGTCCGGCACCAGGGCCCTGGTGAACATGTCGTGTGGAGTATCACGACATGTCAAGACTGAGCCACATCATGCCACATCCCTGAAATGGGCATAAAACTTAGTAGATTTATGCCCATCTCGTTCCTAAATGATCCCGTCTCTGAACTAGGCGTGCTTGACATGTCTTTTTCACACGAGAATAATAGTACACCAAGTTTACTTTCGCATCCTGTCAGGATTGTCGACAGACTCCGACAGACCCCCAGCTTTTTTCTGGAAAAAAGAAGGACCAACTCTCTCCAATCAACCGCCATGAAGATCTCGACAGGCCACCGTTCATGCACCGTCCGTCCGTCCATCCGTCCATGTTCGGAATCTCCCCCGGTCTGGCTGTGGCTCACCACGGAGGACAAGATGGAGGTCATGGACATCATGAAAAACACCGTGAAGACTGCGGCCTCCCAAGCCGGATCACGGTGCCAGCAGGGTCCTCAGACTGACAGACTGACAGACCGAGTCGGGCGAGACAAATCCACCCAAACGCGACGGTACGACGTACCGAGAGGTTCGGCTTGAGGAGTTAGGTTTCGGAGGGAGCGGAGTTCAGTGGTGAAACAGTGGTGGGATGTTCTGGGAACAGCGATGGATTTGGAGATAATGGAGAACAGATGGAGAGGATGTTTGTTGGAGTATGTCAATGGATGTCGCAGAACAGCTTTTTGTTTCATGCGAAAGGAGTTTGCAGTATAATATGCCCATGTTTGATTCAAAAGAGGATGGATGAAGACATCTCGCTTGGGTCAATTAGGATTCTTCTGACAATCTGCAAGCCGCAGGGAGTCCCTGACAGTCCCTGTGACCACCTTAATGCTCTTTCTTCTTTGTCCACGAAAAGGATGCGACTGGGTGCTCCAGGGAGGACTTTGCGTGGTGGGGACATGGGGAGAGACGTCCTGCTTTGTAGAGCACTCCTAACATCTCTTGGTTGTCACGGAAGGTCTTCCAAGAGAGGTTAAGTGACCTGAACTAGGACCCTGCTGCTGTACCCAACTGGGATAGTCGAACGATCGGGTTCTTCAACCTTTGGTGGTCCAACCCAAAATTTCGCGAAAAACTGCCAGCCTCTTGGCTTCTCAGGGTCTCTTCGCGCACTGTCATCGGCGACAAGCTCTTCACGAACAAGGAACTCAAATTCGACTCCTTGGGCGGCATGAAGGTGCAAGCATGTTCCGAGGAGCTGATGGTTTGGCAAGGAGGAGACAGGAGACAAATCCGCTGGCTCCACTCACGGCTGACTTCACACACACCCTGTAGAAAAGATCAATAAAAGAGAAACGATATGGTAAATTGCTGCTATATATATATACAATATATATATATATCAATATATAATATATTTATATATATATATACAATATATATATATAATATATATATAATACATATTATGGAAGAAATTAAGCAATGAAAAAAGAAGACAAAAGCATGGCTCATCCATGTCCGCCGTGCCGAGATCCAATTCACCGCAACCCCGTTTAGCGCTCGCGCCGGTTGAGCGCTCGCGCAACGGCAGGCGGTTAAAGGTTTCATCTACGTGAGAGGTCCGAAAGAGGACCGGGACAGAAGAGGCAGACTGGATGGGCGGGCTGAGAGGCTTCGATGTATACATCACATATCATCACATGAAAAACCTTGCATCTTCCAACTGTGCAACGTGTCTGCCTTCCCATCCATAGAAGACAGATAGCCAAGTTCAGCAGACATGTTGCATTGCTGCTGCATAGTTGGAAGGTCCAGGTATCACCCATTGGGGCACTCACTTGACTCATGGTGTCGGCGGTGTCGGACCATCGGTGTCTGCGCATCGGCCGATGGGAAGCTGGCCACACGAACGGGATCCATATGGATCCGTGGGTGGACCATTTCGCACTGCTCGCGCATGACTCGCCCCATTGGCCGTGCGGAGGTGAGACCGAGAATGAACAGAGTGGAACTACCTGGAAGGTCAACCTGCAAGGGTTTGGGGTTCATATGATTCATATATATATATATATATGACATTGTGTGACTGTCCTCAGACTATAAGGGCAGAATGTCCGGATGTTCTTTCTGAGACTTGGATGGTAACCTGAGGAGCCCGGGGTGAAGCTCACACTGCAGCGCCCTGCGACGGTGTACGTCGCTCTGAGCAAGTCTCCCAACGAGGCGGGTCGGTCTCCCGCGCGGTCCGGACTGGGCATTCGTCTGTGCTGGACTTGAGACATGCTGAGACATGAGAATAGACGTCAACATGGCTCTTCTCGGAATAGTTGGAAGGCTATGAAAGGCTTCTAGTTGGACTTGATTCTGTACTGGAGGCTGAAGGTAGAGGTGATGTTTTTTGGGTCCTTCTCCTTCCAGTTGCACATCGCGGCAGGATGACCCGTTCCTGCAAAGATGGCAGGCCAGCATTTTGTTGGGGCTCCCATCGTCAGTTCACTCATCCGTTCTTGACTTACTCACCAAACCCCGTTTGCAACGACAATCCAAAGGTATCCAAAGCGTTACTATGTTCGGGGGATTACAGATGATTGCAGTATAGAGTATATAGGAAAAATGGATGAGTTATGATGAGTTCATCCATCGCGAAGAACCACATTTTTTGAGATGACCATTCATCAAAATCCATCAATCAATTGCAAACACTAAGCATGAATTGACCCACATGTTGTTTACAGTGTCTCAACATCTTCTTCGCATCGACGGGTGCCAAGTGCCAAAGAGTCCAGAGATCCCAACACAAGCTTGGGAAGTTTCTAAACACCCAAAACATCTGAAAACGCCAACCCCAGTTCATGATCATCTCCAATGGACCTTTTCTTGATCGTTCTTGCTTGCTTTTTCGCCCTTCCCAACGAGAAGCCACTCCGTCTGCGTGTCGCAGACGGTCTCAGAGACGGACTGCGCCTTGCCACTTGGGAGACCAGTTGCGTTGCTGAACGCCGCGGAGCGCCGCGACGTCCTTGGCGTTGTCTTCGCCGGAAGACAATCTGAAGTCTGGACACGTCAAACACGGGGTGAGCGTCGGTGAAGAGAACGGAGGGATTTGGTGAGCCTTTTTGGGGTGGCAAATGGGAGGAAGTGAAGCATCACCGTTCTTGTTCGATTCGGGTTGGCAGGCACAGAACCCTACAGCCTGATTCCATCAAAGCATGCGAAAGATGGATCGCTCGCATCGTTCGCAACCCCCAACTAAAGGCCTTAGATATGCTTGGACCCGACCTTTTCTGGTCAGCGAAAGGATCCGACCTTTCCACGGTGCCCCGAAGCAATAGCCACTGTAGAAGGGCCTGGGGTCTTGGGAGTCGGTCGTTGATCGGTCTTGGTTCGCCCGACATGAGTGGATGCTGTTTGGGGAGCGATGGCCGAAGATATGGACGAACAAGAGGAGAGGAAGGATGAAGCAAGATGCCATAATTATATATCCTTTTTTTGAGGCTTGGACGGGGCCATGTAGCCTCAATTATCCTTTTATAAATCATCTTGAATCATCTTGAACCATCTTGAATCCAGCTCAAGGGCTCACTCTAAATGGAGATTTGGGGTCTTCGCATGGCTGGGGTGCAGCTCTCACCCCAAATTGTGATTCTTGATGTTCTTGCTTGGAAATCCGATGAATCCCAATAGTAGGGACTTTTCAGTAGAATCATCCTTTATATTCTAGATTCATCTATTCTACTGAATAGAATAAATCATCATAATATATCATAATTCTATTCTAGATCATTTGTGGTGGCCATGTGTCTTTCACATCTCCTTGGATGTTCTCAGACCGGCTGGGCCGGTCTTCCCGGACCCAACGCACGCCGACCCCGACCCCGACCCACCACGGACCGACTGGCGCGCCGGCCCCGGCGAGGCCGGAGTTCTCCGACGACGTGGCGCCCGTGGCGGAGATCAAGAGAAAGGAGCGCCACGTCGGTCGCGGGGTTCGCGGTTTGGTCCGCGGGGTCGCGGAGTTCGGAGTTTGCCGGTGTGGAGAAAGTGAGTGAGTGAGTGAGTGAAAAGCATGGGAGGCATAGCAGGCTGATACATCAGTCAATTGAAAGGATCTAAAAGGAAATTACTTTTTGGTGTTCGACATCGAGCCAAGATGAAGGGCAAGAGAAAGAAAGTGATGTTTATGAGTCCACTTATTTCGCGACAAACACCAGACCCGTTGAAGCGGGCTCCCTAGCGACGGCACTATTGCACTTAGCCTGCGACGACCAAGAAGAACACATGCACATTCCGTTGAGCTGCGTGCATGCCTTCTAGAGAAGTCACAACCAGTAACCACACAGATTCTACTGTACCAATCTGTACCATGGTTCCAGGAAATTAGAAATTCTATATATTCTTTTCCACCCAGTCAGAACACCTCCAACCCCCCCATGTGTTCACTCCAACCTTTGGATTCGGAATCAAAAAACACCGAAAATCGAAGACCCAGAATCCCAGAAGTCACTCACTCTCTGGAGACGTCCATCCATGCGCCATCCATCCACGCCAGGTCTTCAAAGACCCCGACAATCGGCACATCGAAGTGCCGCGCCCGCCTGCCGGGCTGGAGACCTGCTTAGTCTTCGTTGGGGTCACCCGGACTTCTGCGCTTCGCCTTCTCGACGAAGTGCAGAAAGCGGTTTGGGTCCGAAGCAAGAGGTTGGTGCGTGTGCCGCTCCAAGACGTTTGATTAGCGGAAGAGAAGGTTACAACCTATGAGTAATATGTTGTAGAATATATTAGATTATAAATGATTAATTGTATATGGTACCCCCCAAGATGAGTGGTTGCTTATGATTATATATATATAGTAATGTACACCAGCTTCTTCAAAGGAACCTTTCTTGAGTCCCTGAGTTGCCTAAGTGACCCTTTTTCATGTTCTTCTTTGACCTCAAACTGGGATATCAAGTTCGGTCAATTGAAAGAAGCAGGCACATATACTGTACATATACTTTGGGTTTGCCCCATTACTGTACCTGTAGTTGGTAAACAATTACTTTAGAGAAAAGACTTTATGAACCATCATCATCCACTGCTACTGGTACAGTGCTAGGATAGATCCAACATGTACACTATAAATTATATAGTGCTGTCATTCCATTTCAGCGGGTTTCTTGTTGTGAACCGGACCGCTCAACTGTTGTTTCTTGTGGTTCTCAGTCCCAACATCGACATGGCGGATTTGGAAAAATGTAGACAGTGGAGGATGGTTCAGTCCCAAACAAAAGAGAATAATAAATAGGTGCTAGAATCCGAATGGGGGGAGTTTGATTTATGAATCAAGATTTCTACATTGGGTGCCTTCTTGGGGTGGTGCTTTTCAGCTTTTGAGAATGAACGACCTGCTTTGAAAAGCTCTTTTGAGCTTGCTAGAAACATCAGGTCGTGCCCGATTTCCATGCGCCGGTCTTCGGCGAGGTGCTGTTGACGGCCGGAAGCGATGCCTTCTTGGATGATGTTTTGTTCAAGACCCCCACGTTGTTCAACTGGTTTGCTTCCAAGAAAGCCTTTCCGAAGCTTGTGTTCAACATTCAGGGCGCGTTGTGAGAACAACATCGAACTGATGAAAGTCAGTGACTTCGACTGTGATGTGAACGGCTCGGAAAGAAAATTGAGATTAAAAGAATCCAGCATATGTTTAGAACCTTCATTGGGTCGAATTCACTCGGAAGTCGGCTTTAAGTGCCATTCATCACATTCAGATTGTTCAACCCTTTGATTCAGGAGCAACTCAGTGAAGAGGAGCTCCGAGAAAAGCTGGGGACTCAGATGGATTCTTGACAAACAAAGTCACTACCGGCACCCGAACTGGCGCCCGAGTCCCATTTGTTTCTTGATCCAGTCGATGGACGATTCTCGGAGGGCACCGCTGCCCCACAAGCAAGCTATAGAGTGGAAAATGATCTTCTCCTGCCCATTCCTGCCCTGGGGTGGAACCAGGCATGGAAAATCGGCCCATTATCGATGGTCGTCCCCACACCGACCTGCCGACCGGTTCGCTCGGTTCGATCCTGATGTTTGGAGCTCAGGGAGCGCGCAGAAGCTGCCCAGAGGAGGGCGTCGCGGTGTTGAAGCAGTGTTGCCCAGGGAGGGCGTTTTGTTGAAGTGAAAAACAAGACTCAGGGCGTTTTGCTGCTTGCGGGTTTACCAAAATACCACAAGACTTCATGAATCGTCCGCTCATTGTGTGGTACCTCTATGATAAGTTCATCCTATTCTCGTTTGATCGGGCCATGTTTGTCGAATCGTTCTGGACAAGCGAGCAGATTCCACCTGAAACTCCAACTGAAGCGATCAGCGAGCAACAACCGCAGCAACCTTGTGGTGTTTGGTTGGTCCTTGTGTGTGTGTGTGTTCTTTCTCATGCTCGGTGCGTTGTTTGTGTGCATCAGTTCCTTTCCACATGAATCCGATCAACAGAGTATGTGGCCCTTTCCAGGAGAGCAGGGAAGTCAAGCAGTAGCACTGCGAAGGCCTGGAGATGCGTGTCTTGACGCAGGCTCTGCCACGCTGGAAAACAAATGGAACATAGTTTCTCTCCAAATGGACAATCTAACAGTTTCTATGTCAGTTTTGGTGCGACAAACAACCAGCTTCCTTTGTTGGTTTTTCCCCAAGAACTCGTCATCAATGTTCCCACATCCACACTGAAGCCAATGGCATTTCTACCGCACACCGGATGGAGCTATCATGAACAATCCATGTGCGGAATATATATACTTGCCTAAAAGATCCTAAAGGCATCTTTAAATCGCCCTGATGTTGGTCAAGCTTTTCATACATGGATTGTTTGGGTAAATAGATATTTACACATTTACAAGCTGAATGTTCCCTTCGTTGGGCTTGTCGATTACAGCATCCTTGGATCCGCCTGTGCAAGCGACAGGAGGGGCCTACGAAACAAGAAGAGTTGGAGGCGCCAGCGCTGGACCGACTGGACCCAGTCGGTCAAAGAGTGGCACACGAATTGATTGAGGTGACTGATCATCATCCACTGTTGGAAGTGGTTTTGGATCTATCCAATGATCATTTGACAAGTACAAGTAGAACAGTGCTTGCGTTGCTTGAGGGTTGCGGCCCGGTTGGTACGCTTGCTTAGGTTCCTACTATGTGTTTGCCGGGCCGTGCGTTGCAAGGGGGCTGTGCGTTGTCACTGCTTTGCGTCACATGTGTGAGCCCACGACGCCCAAAACACATGGATTCGCACAGATCACTGAAGTGAACATCATCTGAGCATGGCAGCATGGCTCAAAGATAGGATGCCATCCCTTGGGTCGTATTTGTGAGCTGGAGTGATGTGTGATTCACATGATCAATGATCTTCACTACTTCCAGTTGTCACACAATTCTGCGCTGTGTTCTACTTCTCAGGCCATTCTGAAGAAGGCTGAAGCCGGAGAGAAGCTGTCTAACAAGGCTGAGATTTGCTGAGATGATGTGTTCAAACACCTGTCTTGCTTCACCCTGTGTTTTCATATGTGTTCACCCACTCTACAGTATGCTTCCCTTACTGGTACACGGCGTTAATTGCACATGGTCTTGTTCCCCCTGTACAAGAGGTTTTCCACCCACTTTGGGTGTTTGCTATCGAGGAGAAGCGCCTCCTCGAGAAGCACAATGAGAAGTGCTTGGCTTAAACAAGACAGAGCAAGCTCTCAATCAGCAGATTTACACGGAGATCAGCAGGTTCCAAACTCCACAAGGGCCTTAATACTCTGGAATTTGTGTGTGTGTGCCAAGATGATCGAAGCGTGTAGTCGTTTAATCGCAGTCCTATTCCGTATACGACTTGTCCCATTGGTTTGCTTCACAGCAACCAAAACGTCTCAGCCCGTACATCTGATTCAGACCGTTGATTCTTTTTTTGCACCTCTTCCCCTTGAACCCTTCAATCACTTCGGAAGTTGCCATCTAGACTGAAAACTTCGCTTGCGCCTAGACTTAGTCCGCCGCCGTTCCTTTGCCGTTCTGAAGTCGTCCAAGGAACGCTGAGTACAAGAACGAAGATGACGAGCCCGTTGGTGGCCTCCACGCTTTTACCATCACCTTGGAGGCCAACACCCACTTCGGATGGCCGACGACCGGGGTGGTCTGGCCAGACGTGAAGTAGCAAGTACTTCAGCCGGCCTGGTGGAGAAGCTCCAAACCAACTGGCAGGTGTTTATATGTTTAGTGGACCAAATTGTTCACTCAATTGCGTTAAACATGTTTAAAAAATAAAAAATGGTTTAAACTCGATGTGTTCCAGCTCTGAGTCCAATCGGAGCTGATGTGTTTTGCCGCTTGGCTTAAACAGCCTCTCTCAAAGGGGCGACCAACCTTGATCACCCAGGAAGACTATCCAGGAGCCCTTTCGTCAGTTGGATGGTTTTGGTCCTTAAACAGCCCTTTTTCACCATGTTTCACCACCAAATACTTTGTTTGGGTGCCTTGAAGGTTCTTGGAATTGCGATCCAAAGACCTTTGTCTGGCAGACGTGACGTGCATGCGTTGCATGACTGGTTTGGGACTTATTCTTGGAGCGGAAATTGCTCCTGGATTACATGCTGCAGGTGTTCGTTCCGTGTGCCCACTCGGTGTTCGGATACGGGTCTTTCGGGACCCGGGTGAATTTCCAGAAACGACTCCCGTGGTTTCTCCACGACCCGTCGCCGACACGACCGGGGATGACCGTGGGTCGTTGGAGTCTCCAGGGCGGCAAGCTGGAGCCCCCGACGGCGGGCGACGCCTTCGTGTGCAACAACTTCACGCTCTCAGCGCCGAAGCAAACGCTCTTCGACAATGCCCCTCGCCCGTTTTTTCCGGGTATGATCGGCCCGGTTGGGGGCCGTTGGGAGGTGTGGGTTTGGGTTAGTGTTGGGGTTGGTGTTTGGGTTCGGTACATACGACGTGTTTGGGTTCCGTGTGCATCGGTGATACGACGCGTGTTTTTCTTTGTTCCGACAGGTGGGAACTGGACTGCTGTTCATCCCTTCTCACTGAGACATATAGTCGTCAAAAACCACGCAGGGATACGGGTGTTGAATCAGGTGCGCTCAAAAGCCCTTTGTGCCCCAGACTGACCGCAAGAATCCGCAAGACCTCTTTGGGCAAGTTTGGATGGATGGGTATGGGACGTAGGTATGCAGAGGAATCACTTGTACTCGCACCACTTGCTACCCAGAAACTTAGAATCAACACAGCCGTTTTGGTCAGTGCGGTCGGGGGGATACCTGGTTCTTAAAGCATCTTAAAGCCACAGTCACATAGCTAGCATAGGTATACGGTATACGTATTTATACGTTAGCTTTCTTCTTGCATTTGTTTGCTCCCAAAAGGGATGGGCTAGATATCTCATCACGGGCCTGCACATACAGTACCTTTTGAGGGGCCAGAGACTTACGCCTGAGCTGCTCATGTTTCGATGGGGTGCTCATGGAAGTTGAACATGGAAAGTCGACTGAATCGAGAAGTGCAAAGAAACCAGAGGGTCACAGATCACTCATGCCTCATGGATCACTCAGATACTTCACAGATCATTCAAATACCTCGTGATAGCTCCAAATCAACCATAGCAGAACATGCAAAACCGTGACATATACTCCATGATACTCCCCATGTCCTCTCTGACGGATGCTCCATGTTTCACGACGGAGGACTCCTGTTTGCCGCCCATCTGCCGCCCATACACTCCGAGTCGATTCGACTGTAGGCGAGCGTCACCATTGTTCAGGGCCACAGATATGGCATTCTGGGGCCCAATGGGCAGGCGCAGCTCGGGGCTGCAAGCGGGCGCGAGCGGGCGACGTGTGTCGCGCACCGAGGAGCGGAGCGGAGCGGGGGCAGGGCAGCGAAGGGACGAGCCGGGGCCGGCGTCAGGGCGCCGCAGAGCCGTAGACCGACCGACCGACAAGGGGAGGAGCGATTCGATGGCTCCTCCGAGTTGGCAGGATGGCTTAGGTGAATCAACATCATTCATCTGCCACCGGAGGGGTCGGCTAAGTCGGTGTGTCGGTGCGTCGACTGGTCGGTGCCGATGTGAAGAGGTGGCCGGAAACGTCACAATCGTTAGAGTTCAAGTGTCCCTGGTGGGATGGCTCGGTCCATGTAGATGGGATTCTTTTTTCGACATGGACATGTTCGAGTATCAGGTTCTCACTTGGACCCGTCATCGTTGACCCCTTGATTCACTTCACCGACTGGACATGGGAGCACGCTGTCGCTCGCTCGCCGACTGCGTCGGGACGGAGAAGTTCAGCGGCAGGGGAAGACCACCTTGCTTCGGCACATCGCTGCGCGAGAGATGTAGCTCGGTGGAGAGCGGGTAAAACTCGGTGGTTCACATGTAAGTCGGCCAAACAAAAGATTTTAACAAAAAGAAAAACCATCGACGTGAAGTTGAATGACTCTTTGGTGTTTTTTTTGTAATTAAGAGGGTTGCATGATGTCTTTCATTCTGTTGAATGTTCATTGTTTCATGATGTTTTCATGTATTATAAGATAATTAGTTATGTTATGTTGCACTAGATGGTTGCATTATATTGCATGAATGTTCCTCCGAAACCTTTAACTTGGGTATCAGCCAAAAGCACCCATGCGTTGGTGTGTCCCAATATTCAGGAGCCCCAATCGAACCTTGAGTTTAAGAAGGAACCTACTGCTCGGCTACGGTTGTTTGTCTCCAGCGCCCTTGTTGCTCCTAGGTCCTAGGTTCGCCTGGATTCTTCTTTAGTGGTTTACGAAACCCTCGTGCCCCAAAACACAACCACGTGCTTCTTGCAAAGGGAGTGTGCAGGATTCAAAGTCGGGGCAATGTTTCCACAAAGCATCAGAAAGAGTGGTTTACTCAGTTTACTCCACCCCGACCGGTCATCTCGAAGAACCTCATGCTTCTTCATTAGGATTCCAGTCGTCTTTTCAAGACAATCGGTGATTCGATGCCTGAACCATGCCCCCCCCCCGCGTCACAGGTCCAAGTCTTGCCTCAGCGGCTCGCCTGACAGGGGCGACCGCCTCAGCGGCTCGTGAGGCCCGTGCCTTTGAACTGGGACGTGATCCTCGTGGAGCAGGCGAGGCACCTGGCGCCCAGCGGGCGAGCCTGGGTGGTCCGGGTGGACTGCGACCGTGAAGAAAAGGAGGAGGTCGGCACCTACGGACAACGATGTTCTGTTCCAATCCGGAATCAACGACATGTGTCAGAAACCACAGATGAATCCATCTGGCCAGGGTTGGTGGTCCCGTCATCATCGTGATCATGGTGTGTTCACGATGTGGTTTTGGAGACTTGAAGAAGAAATCCGAAACGAAGAAAGCGCCTCACACGATCTCATGCAGCTGCTGAATGGAAAGCCCCAAGACATTGATTCAAGGGATGGTTTGGGACCAACACCCATCAAATTTTGCGGGAGTATAACTTCGTGTATTCGTCCGCTGTTCCAATGTAGAACTCCAATCCATGCCTCGGGGCGGTGGGGATCGGTTAAAACCACGTTCACCTGACCAGTCGACCATGTAGCCCACGAACGACCGGTCCAGGTAGGGAAAAAGGGGTCGGTTCTTTTTTGTGGTGCCATCACCCACAGCCATATGGGTACCAAGCTGACCCCTCTATGATTCCCAAAAGGATATCGTTTCTGTTAGGGGCTGCTGCGCACAGGTGGGTGTTGGGATGTGCAGGGAGGGTTCGAAGAGGTGCGGAAGGTCAGGTGAAAATGAACCCTCCCATTTGGATGGTAAAACCATGTAGAACCTCTTTGTATCGGTTCTTTGTTCTATCAAGAGTCTACATCCAGGACCATCCAATGGGTCTTGGCTGGAGTATACCCTACACATCCCTACCTTTGTCTTGTCCTGGCTGGGCACCCATTGGATGGTCCAGGATTAATGCATTGATCTGGATCGCTTTGCTTCGCGTCTTCACTATCTTCACCTCCACCCGTCCCTCCGACGCAGCGGTCCAGCGGCTTGCGAGGAAGCGAAGGCCACGGAGCGATCGGCGGTGGAAGAGGTCTTGGCGGCGGATCTGAAGCTGCTCGATGGAGACACAGGTCGACGGTCTGTGGAAGTTGAAACAAAAGCGCATATGCAACATGGGATGAACACTACAAAGATCTACAAAGTGATCGGAAGAGAAGTCTCGAGAAAGTCAGATCAAGCAAGTAACTGACTCGATTTGCAACCAGATCCAGGTGCGTTTTCCAAATCCAGAAGAAATGGGTGGGGCGTTCAATTCAATTCTGCACTCTTGCATTTGGGGGTTATTTGGGTGGAATTGTTGGCCTTCTCCCCCAAAAACAACCCCCTTAGCATTCTCGCGTCTCTCTCGGCTTAACTTGAACCGCATTGCTTTTGGATAAGATAGGCTTTGGTTCGCTGTTGGAAGGAGCCTTTTAAGTTGGGATCCCCCTCATTTTGCCCGTTCACGTGTCTTGCCGACCCCGCCGGTCACCAAGAAGCAAGAAGCCTGCTTTCCGCTGAGGGCAGCGGAGTTGATCAAGAGGGAAGCAGAGCTTCTACAGAAGCTGGAGGACTGCGTTTCACGCAGATTCTCGACAGGGAGGACGGCAAAATCATAGCCACAGACCCCAAGTACCTGGGCAGTGTCTCGGACGCAGCTTTTGTTGTGAGCCAGCGTCTGGATTCCCCCACTTTCCGGGAAGAGAGTGCTTGCAGGACAAGTGCGTTAGAGAGCTGTTGAGTTTGGGCTTTCCACTCCCTGTGCGTTTGGAGATGTTTAAGTCATGCGCCAGGCCGCTTCTTGCGGATGAAAACCGAGCTGCTCCCACTCGGGTCATCCCCCTTTTGCAGAAAAAACCCGAGGGGATGGAGACGTGGTCGGAATATGTCGGAATAGTTTCAGAGGTACCCTGGCGGCCAGGGGAGGAGACCACCTGACGACCGGTCCAACCGGACGATCGGTTTAAAAGCCAAATGCTTTAGAGTCTGGAACCGTTTGAATGGCGGTCCGACCGGGTCTTCCATGATTGAAGCAAAACGCTTGATGTTTGGTCAGGATGTGCCTAAAAGGCAGGTCTGCCTGGTCCAGACCTTGGGGCTTGAGGGGAATAGAAATGAATCGAATGAGAATAAAGTATTAACAAAAATATAAATTTAGATTTCTTGAGCGCAGCGCAGGCACCTTTTATGTATATAATAGTTAATTATACAAATGCGACAGAGCACAAAGCTAACTCTTTGCGCTGACCTTGTCAGGCCTCATCTAAATCATGCTAAATCCCTTTTGATACCCAGTTCTGTTCGCGTGTTTTTGTAGCAGCTCCACTCGCGTGCTTCCAGCACCTTAGAATCTCCAACCCGTGAGACCGCGACCCCATGAGACCTGCGAGGTCCCTCCGCCGGGCCTCCCCAACCCCTGATCCCATGGTCTTTTTCAGCTTCAAGGTGGTTCTCGGGCGCCGTTTCGAATGGATGCACACACCAGCACACGCACACGCACACGCACTGCTGTGTCTCTTTCTGGCAGGATATGGAAGAAGCCATGGAAAAGGGTCAGGAGATCAGCGCAGAGGAGGTGGAGAGGACAGGAACCACCGATGGCGAGACAAACCCCTTGGTGAATCAGGGGCTTCAGCATGGTTTTTTTGCGTCCAATCAGAGGATGACACTCCAAGTCATCCGACGGTTGCATTGTCCTCGTCGGTTGAAATATAATGCGGAGCAAACATCAATTCAATTGGTGCAGTTTTCTCGAAATAGTTGGTCCAAGGTTGCTGCTGCTGTCTCGCAAAGACTCCCCAGCACGTACCAGCACAACTCTTTAGAGGAGACCTCTTGGAGGGTGCTGGTAAGAGGTACATGAAAAAATGTACGTCCACATCTTACGGCATCCAGATGACCAGTCTAGCCCGTTGCAAGGTGTTTTTACTTTGTTTCTTGTGAAGACCGGAAAACGGGAGTGGAGATGCAGGAGTGGAATTTCAGCACACCTTCAGTTGTACGAACTTGTTCAACACGAAATAGGAACAAGAAGGTGAGAAGGTGTCTTCAAACAGTTAAACAGCTTCAAACCAACGGTTTGTCCCCCTTCGGCAGTCTTATCCAGCGCCAAAAAACAAAGGTATGTATTATGATGCATTATGTATGGTAGTTCTGCGGAGAACTCTCAGCACGGGAGGATGACCTGACCCTCTCAAACGGTTGGATGGAAAAAAAATCACATGGACGGTGAGGTATGCGCTGGACCATTTGGCAATCGACCCAATGGTAGTTTCGCCTTTGGCTCTCAGTTTCCCCTGTTTGGGGGTTCAATCAGCCAACCCCGACATGATGACATGGGAAAACCTGCAGATCCAGTTTGATGAAGCACCACTCTGAGAGTGCTTGGGGCCAGTTCAGGAGGTTTGCCGATGTCCAAGCTCTGTGTGTGTGTGTCGTGTCTTTTTTCACGCCCCAGACGACTCTTCCATCCAGACGATGGCAGGACACGCCTTGATCTCGAGAATACTTCAGCGGAACTCGAGGTGCACGGAGATCCGGATTTCCGGCGGACAAACATAATCATAGCGATCTTCGATTTGACCAAGACCTTGCTGGGATGGAGTAGCAACAAGCTGTAGCTTCTTGCTACCTAGTAGCTTCTTGGCCTCCAACCTAAGAGCGATGGCCTCCAACCTAATTAGTGGTGTCTTGTTACTAGCGATGGAATCTTTGGAGTTTTTCCTCACCGGATCTCAGGGAAGCTCAGGTCTCAAGATCCCGGGGCTCCCGGCATTCTCTCCCTCGTTGGGGGGTTCGCAATGAGACGAACGAGAAGCGAGGACGGCGAGAACCAAGGGGGAACGAAAGACTCGTCTATTGGAACATTGAAATCACATGAAATCACGATAAGAAAAATCAAGTGTCAAAAAGGACACCTGCGGAATACAATGCGCAATGCATCGAACAACAATAGATGTTTGTGATGTTTGAAACGCTTGGAAAGGTCAGGCGGCAGTATTACTGGCCTCCGAAGAACTGAAGAAAGTGGGACCTCAAAATGTTCTATAGTGACTAATTGATAGTGGCACGGTTTCCAATACATTCTTAGAGGGGATCGACTTTTCTATTTATTTGGGGGATTTGGGGGGTCTATATATATAAAGAGTTCTCATGACTTCTCCAAAAGCGATTCACCAGCTTGGGACTCGCCCATAATTTTTGGGGGTTCAGATCCACAAGTCTCTTTGGATGAGACATCTACTTCAGGTTACCGCCTCCACACGTCCAAGGGATCCAAGAGATCCCAGTTACCATCCGCCGCGCTCAGCCTGCAAGGCGATCGGTGCAGATTCCGCGGAAGCTCGAGTGCGGGGGCTTAGACTCTTGAAACATCAACCAGCGAGGAGGTTGTTTTGTTGGCTATTGATTCATAAAGGCTCTCACTTGGAGATGGGAAAACATAGAAATAAAACATCCTGGTGTTGTCGATTGATGTTCATCTCAAGGATTTCTTTTAACCAAAGAGTTAGCATGAACGAGGAATCCATTAAAACAAGTTGTTCCTGAAATACTAATTCGGAGGAGCTGGACAAGTGAGTTTGGAGTGGGAGGATGATGGCCATTTCTTGATCAACAGAAAAAGGGTCTTCATTTGGTGCGGGATCGGGTCCAAGCCGATGGGCTTGTTTTCTGGACCACGGTGGCTTTAAGGTACCCGAAATTGATGTTGATGTACTTTCATGTATACACCACCTGTTTGGTTTTCGGAAAGTGGCTTTCCAAGGGGCCATGCCATCCACTTCCATGTGAGTTCCAGCGAGTGCTCAACGAATCTGCAACAACCACGACGGGTGATTCCACAGGAGAATCGCCCACGGTGTTGGCTGCATCGTGTTGATTCGCCGGAGCGTGCTATAGCGCTTGCAGGGAGGGTAATTATATGTATAAAAGGATATAATAAAAGGTATATAATCCTAGGTGATGGTTTCGGATATGTTTATGTTCAACCCTTACTTGGGGATGATTGGAAACACCCACTACTCTTATTTGTCCAGTGGGTTGAAAACACCAGTAATATCATGATTCGTTAGGGGGGACGAGATCGGGGCTTGAGAGGCCCAAGACCAACCTCTTGCATCTGCAAAAACCGCCACGCACGCCCGCGGCGCACGCGGACCGCGAGGTGAGGAAGATCCTTTGTGGCACGAAGCTTAAAGCGCAACGATGTACACCGTTGATCACGTTCACCTCCTCGGAAATAGAGGGGTGTTTGAAGGCGTATGATAAAAAGTGGTGTCATTGAGAAAACAAAAAATCCTGTAGTTTGTCGATGTGGCACGGCTCAGACCCGTGTCCTTTTGGCCGTTGTATTCCGTTCCACTTGCACCCTAGTTTGAGTGATAGACCTAGGGATGACAGAGGTTTCTTGAACCTGTTCATGTCCTCCCTGTTCCCCCCGGTGCGGGGGGGCCAACCCAGTTTCCAGGCGCTGGAATCGCGGCAGCACGGGCGTTCAAAGCGCCTCAGGTTTAGGCTTCACCAACGGCGCGCCAGATGAGGATCGCTTCTCCATGGACAGGTGGGGAGGGACAGACCTGTGGGCCACTGAAAGACCTGAAGTGCTCAAAGTCAACACCAGATGCTCACGTCTCACTAAATCCCTACCATCATGAACCCGCTGGGAAAAAATACAGAGTGAGACAGACAGACAGACAGAGGGAGGGAAGGAGAAAGAGAAAGAGAAAGAAAAAGAAAAAGAAAAAGAAAAAAGGGAAGAAGGAAATAATTGTCAGGAGATGCCTACTCAAGAGCTCCAAGCATCCCGCTTTGGGCATGCGTGCTCATGTGAGACATGTATAGGCTCAATTTTTTGATCAATCTCTTCACTGGTGGGTCTTCTTTTTTGCACATGTACTGAACTTGTGCTTTTTCTCTTCTCCAGGAGGGAAGAAGCGGCTTCCAAACCCCACATAAACCCGTGAAAGCCCTTCATAAACCCCTCCAATTTGGGTGGAGACCTGTTGAGTCGGATGCTGGTAGCCTAATGTAGAACCTTGGTTCATTGAAATTCATGAACCCCCCCATTTGGATTGTAAAGCCTCTGGGCCTCTTCATCTGGAAGATGGAAGGGCTGTGGGGCCATGGCACGACTGGTTGACCCGACCCCTTTATTTTTCCCTCTCCCTGCTAAAACCAGTCGTCCGCGACATGGTGGACGACCGTGGGGCGACCTGGGTTGAACGACCCTTCCCCTCATTCATCAAGATTCATACAAGTCGACCAGTTGTTGACCTCCTTCACCGCTTGGACAGGCCGGTCGTGCAGTTCTCGGGCGGCTGGCGAATGCGCATCAGCTTGGCGAAGGCGCGAGAGCTCGCGAGCGCGAGGGCGAGGGCGGGGGTGAAACCGAAAGAGTCAGAAAGGAAGAGCACAGATTGAACATGGCAGGAGTCATGTTACATCGTGTTGCTGAACCGTGGCAATGGATGTTTTTGTTGCCGAACGCACCAAAAACATCCTTCCAAGCGCCAAACACATCCAAAAAGGAACGTACTGGTAGGAAGGACAGCTAGTCCAAGGGGTTCATAAACTTGGGTTAAGGTTTGACCGACCTCCACACTCCACAGACCTTTTTCCCCGAGAAAAAAAACACTGTTTTGTGAGCTGTAGGGCCTGCCACGGCATGGTTACATCTATGTACAGGGGTCAAGTCAACTGCAAATCTACGCGCAATGGACAGTGGCAAGAACACCAAAGCCTAGAAGCGAGTCTTCATTCGCCTCATTCGTTTCGCACTACTGTATCGGTGTGGGGAACCATACGGTACCTGGGCACCCTTTTTGCTGACAAACTCCCCGGTGGACTCTTCTGCGCAACTTGGGTCAACAAGGGTTGACCCAATCAGAGAATTTCCAAGACCTGTAGGTCACTGTAGGTGAAGCGGACATTTGTAAATGGCGGGCATCCACGGTTTGGATCAGTTCGGGACATCCAAAACGATTTTGGCGACATCTATGCCGGATTTGGCATGTACGAACAACTGAATTCCGAAGGGAGCATCGTTTGTAAGGAGTCGTGCCTTGATGAATTCAAATCTAAACATGCTGTGTTTGATTTGTGTTTACCCTGTTGGACAATTCCTTGACTTCAATTGGCTTGCAGGCTTGTATCGTGCGTTGCTTACACCCTCCGGTGTTGACATGAACATAATCACAAGAATGTGAGGCAAAGCATAGACTGGGTCTACCAGGGTCCTTTCCGGGACATTGGCGCTTTGTTCTGATGTCGTTTTGATCCACTCCTGGATGCAACTACGGCAGTACGGCAGTGTCAGGGTACCAAGAGTTCAACAAACACATGCTTCTGAGACACGTGTTGGCACTGAGCTTTGATCTCGCAGGCATGACTTGGACATGTGTTTTTTCTTTTTATTTTCCTTTGTTCTTGTGTTTAGCTGGGGGGAGCATTCTCCAGGGAAAGGAGGCATTATATAGGCCGCGCAGGCGTCTTGCAGATGCCAATAGGCTTGATGCAGGGCGGCGTTTGTCACGGCAGGCGCTATTCTTACAGCCAAAGTTGCTCATGCTGGATGAGCCAACCAACCACTTGGATTTGGATGCAGTGCTGCTCCCAGTGTCTCAAGGGGTGCCATGACCTGGGACCTCAAAGTGCGTCATGGTCCCCCAAGCCTTGCGAGCTTGCCAAGTTTGCAGCGCTCAATCAACCAAGCTGCATTCAGAATCCACAAGTTTATAGAATTGTTGCAAGGCAAGAACAAACCAATACAACAGTCATTTATTGTTTGCAATTGCCCGAACTAGCTGATGTTCTTTTTACCATTCTTGAAGCCTTTCATCAGGTCTTGTGGTTGGACAACTACCTCTCGGAGCAGTATCCACATGCCGTGGTGGTGGTGTCCCACGATGCCGACTTTCTGGACAATATTTGCACCCATGGCAGAAGATGGGTGTGTACAAGTGTCCCGGAATACCCCCAAAAAGTTTCTCTCCGCAAGGTTCGGGTCCAGAAACTGCAGCAAAGATGTCCCAAAACATCCACAAAGGTTCGTGTTTTTTCCTCGCCAACCCACTGGTGGAGTGAAGAAAAGGAAGGACCCAAGCACCAAAGCAGAGGATTGGGGCAGAAAAAAAACACATGGAGAATGTCATTGGCCCTAGAAAATCCTCTATAATCCAATCTGCAAAATCTTTAAGGGATGCTGAAGATTTTGCAGGTTGGATTGGAGGATTTTTGGGGGCAATGGGCCTTTGGATTGAAAAGAGGATGCTGATGGATGTTTTGTGTAGCTCCCCGTCCACGGCAAGCCCAAGCTTCAGCTCTCCAGAGCAGACACTTCAGAGTTGCAGATGCAGCTTCACCATCCTTTGCCCACTGCACTCACTCAACCAGCTGCGGACGAAAAATTGCTGAGTGAGTTATGCATCGGGAAACCGAAAACACATGCCACATATACCTCATGCTCCCCTGCTTCAGGTACAGACATTCTGCACCTGGAGGAGGGGGTTGGCTGTTGGTCGGAATTCGGCAGACCTCCCGAGACCGAGAATCGTCGCATTCTCCCCAAATGTTTGGTACAAATTGGTCGGTAAAGATGAATTAATGTGGGGATGGATCAACGCCTGGAGCAGGATCAACACCTGGAGCCGGATGGATCAACACCTACAGCCCCAACAAAATGGGGCTTGCCCTCCCAAGTAGTCTATTCCATCGAAATTCCTTCGACCATTCGACTATATAGACGATGTCTGACGTCTCGTGCTCGCTCCTCACTTCTTCACGACGACGTAGTGAGGACAAGAAGCTGATTCACTATCGCGGCGACTACACTGCCTTCAAGAAGATGCACGAGCAGCAGAGAGCGACCATGGACAAAGAATACAAGAAGCAGCAGGAGCGTAGCTAGAACTTGGACAGACGCGAACACGCGAAGCTCCGTGATCTCTGAGACAACCAGAATCCCCTAGTTTCAGTGTGACAAGAATTTCATGTTCATGTTCATCGCCTACGCCGTGGAGACAATATGCGTTCTCGCGCTCTTGCGATCTCGCACGATCGTGGTATGTCTTTGTTTTGGTATGTCTTTGTTTTGTGGAGTGTCAGAGTGCAAGTTCGTTGCTGAAGAAGACCATGGCAGGACTTGGAGATACGTAGCAACATGGCCACCAACTAGCAGAAAGTATCGATGTTCATCGATAGTCTAGTCCCTCTGGACACTTAAAGTCACAGTAGTCTCCGGTCCCCAAGGCGAATCACACGGATTGAGAACCAGGGAGGATCATGGATACAGGCCTGCCATTCATACATATCCATACTCCCAAGTCTCCCAAGCTTCCAGGATGAGCTGAAGGCTTTGAAGAAGAAGGGGATGACCAAGGCAGCCTGGTGGTCGTGGTCACGAGACCAGAACAGACTGAATCCACTGGCGATTTGGGGGACCTAAGATCCAAAAATGATGCTCTTAGCAAAATGATGCAAAATGTATTTTGCTTCTGAATTTGCTCGTTCTTTCTTCCTTTGTGGTTTCTTTTTCTAAGGGACATCTTCCCTGTTCTATTTGGACGATTTTTAGGCACTCCAAAGGACTCCCTGACTCGAAGGGATGGACTCCATGACCCGACGCACGAAAACGACGCGACCGGCCGTGGAGGAAGAAGCCGAAGCGAAGGTCAAGGAGAAGTTTAAGTTGAGCTCTCTGGACGAACAGCGCAAGGAGTGGTGGCTAGCTGTGTGTGTGATCTCGAGTGTGTGTGTGTGGTGTGGTACTGTTTTCAGGTGAGATTTGACAGGTCCTCTAACGCAGTAATTACCTTAAAGTGCTAACTCCATTTTTTGGGAACACCCGGAATGGTGCTAACTCCGAGCTCTCTCTGTTACGTGTGTGTCACGTGTGAAACCCATGACCTGTCACAGCAAAAAAAGACGCTCGTGCCTCCGTCCTCTCTCTTCGTCGTCCTTCCTTCCTCTTCGTCCGGGGGCGCTTCCTCGCTCCCACAGTCCATCCACCCACCCACCGGCTCGTCCGGGTGACGCCCCGCCCGCGGCGGTTCGTACACCGTGACCTGCGTCTCGTGACCCGCGACGCCTCGTCGCGTCGCCCGCGTCCGTCGTGGTGTCGGCCTCGCCTCGCGTCGTGTCCCGGCGGCGGCGGAGGACTACATCGTGAAGTTCAAGTTCAAAGGTCACGGCATGGACCGAACCTTAGGTCTCAACGTCTCGGAGGTGGCCTTTAGCTACGACGGCAAGGAGAGCGTTGAGAAAGCGTGAACGGGAGAAAGAGGGGGGGAGCGTTGGGCCCGGCCGCTTGGTTGGGGCACTGGTTTCAAAGACATGTGGGACGTAGCTTGGAGCGTGAAGAGCTGTGAAGAGTCATGAAGGTCTTAGTACTGCACCCAGAGTGGTTCGGTGAAAAAGAAGTCCAAGCCCATGTTGTTGGTTTGATCCATGGTTGGTACCAACATCGGGTCATTCAAAGTTCAAAACCTTTGAATCCTTTGTTCACCCGCAAAAGGACACCCCCCAAACAAGAACCAACTGATGATGCTCCTTTTTGGGCCACCCTTCGCGCCAAATCAATGGCCGAGTGAGGAGCCTTGGCTCTTGGAGGAGGTGGAAATCGGTGTGGACTGTGGCAGTCGCATCGCCATCGTGGGGCCCAACGGCGCAGGGAAGTCCACGATCCTCAATTTGATGATGCAACAGTTGGAGCCCTGCCTCGGCGAGGCGCTCCCGGCTCTCCCGGTGGTTCAAACGGAGGACGACGGAGCCGAGACTTGAGAGCCAACCTTGGGCCCCTAAGGGGTCGAAGCATTGGTGACCTGTGAGGGTCGGGTTTGGTGCTGGTCAGTGCGGGTGGAAGAGGGGGGGCCGATCGTTCAGTGTTTACCCGACATGGCCAGGGGGATGTAAGCTCAGGTGTGACATTCTCCATACCTTTTGACATGGTATGGAGAGGGGCGTAACATCAAGGGTTAGAGAAATTGAGGTGCCAAGGGTCAGAGAAATCTTTAGAGAGGTTGGTGTTTTTTTCATCTTACTTGAAGCCTCCACTGGTCCGCCAAAACCTCATGGGGTGGTAGACCTATGCCTCCCGCATCGGGTCCATCGACTCAGCACTCGTTTCGGTCACGGAGTCCTTTGGACCTGGTGAGGTCTCAGTGTCCAAAGGAATTCGAGTGAAGCAGTATCACCAGCACTTCGAAGAGCTTTTGCCCTTGGACAAGACGGGTGTGGACTATTTGAAGGATGCCTTCAACCTGAAGACGCCCGAGAATGCACGCGCCGTGCTGGGTCAGTTCGGCTTGCCGGGTGGCTCACACTTCACGAAGATTGGGAACTTGTCGGGTGGTCAAAAGGCTCGCGTGGCTTTTGCAGCTTTGATGCTCATGGAGCCTCACATCATTATCCTTGATGAGACCTGGTAAAAGATGGTAATGTGGACTCTTGATTCATAAACCCCCCATGTGAAGAGGTGTTTCAATTCAACTGGAGGGGTTATTAATCAAGAGTCTACAATACATGATGGTACACTCTGACGAACAGATCACGTAGAAGTGGATGGCATAGTCCAGAAAGGAAGACTACTTTCCTTCACAAACAAGGTGTTCTCCACTTCCATGTTCGAGCTGGAGTGTACAAGGATGATGTGAATGGAAACCGATTTGGACCCATACACTATCATACACTCATGCACTCAAAAATGGGTGTGGCCGGCTTTGTCCACGACGGGTGCCCACGACGGGTTTGTCATACCGAGGATGATGTCATTTTTGGATTTGTGTGCTTCGTTCAACGTTCGGACGCTCCGAACTCGCGAAGACTTGGGGGGTTCTTTTGGCCACTTGGGAGCCCAAAGCGTCCACGCCTGGACCACTCAGGAACCCACAAATCACCTGGACATCGAATCGGTGGAGGCTTTGACCACGGCCATTTCCAATTTCAATGGTGGCTTGGTGCTGGTGAGCCACGATGCGCGGCTCATCACGGAGGTCGACTGTGAGCTTTGGGTCTGTGAAGATGGCGGCTGCTACCGCTTTGAGACTTGGCTTGAGAATTCATTGGGCCGTTTGGTGATTCGAAAGGGAGGGTTGAGACCATTCCAGACCCAAGTTCCTAGTGACAGCGGTGCCCAAATGAGACCCATAATTGAAGGGGTCGTTCATAGACTCACTTGGAGGGTCCCGCTGTTCATTATACACAGGTTCAATTTGGTTTGTGGATTCTTGTTCTTCAAAGAACAGTAAGTGCATCTTCGGGTTTCTCACCCACTGGTGAGGGGGCGACCGGCATCCTCATCCCCCGTTCAACGGGCCGTTCAACACCGTTCGTTCCGAGGAGAAGGACTTCGACGGCTACCGGGACAAGGTGCTCCGACAGCTGGAAGAACGGCAAGAGGAGGTCGAGCGCATGGAGCAGAAGCGCCGTGAGGAGCGAGCCAAGAAGCGTGCGATGCCTGGTGGCACGCGCGGACGCGCTCGCTGAAGCGGCGGAGGGGAGGGGTGCTTGGAGGGGCACGATGTTGGGAAGGGAGACTAAGGGATCTAAGGGCCACCAACCAGTTCCAGGGGTGGCTGTGGGTCAAAACCTGGCGCCACGAACTCTGGTGGGTTGACATCTCTGAAAAAGAGGACATCTGTTCATTTGATCCGCGGTGCCATAACCCACAGCCAAATATGTTCCTTGTTTGAAGTTCCAGACGCTTCTTTAACGAAGACGCGTGACTGCCCCGTCCCCCAGGGATGACATACAACAGATGGCTGCTGAGAGGGGTGGGCATTGGTGCCTGGATTGTTTGACGAAGGTTTTGGAGGAGTTGAGGTTGCTCAGACCATGAACAAGAGTAGAGAAAGACCCCAGTAGGGGAGTGTCGTTCTTCCATAGAAAGTACATGAAAGTACTCAAGATGGTGAGAAAGAGTTCTAGACAGCCTATCCTCTTCAGGGTCGCAAGCCTATCCTCTCATCACAGGATCGCGGAGGCCAGTTCCCACAAAAATCTCTTGGAACAAACATCAGGAGACGACATGCCAACCAGGGGTGCCAAGGGGCAGGTGTTGCCCATTTTGGTGTCTATGAAGGTCCCAACACCACCCAAATCTGCTGGCATACAGCCCCTACTTGTAGCGTCCTCTTGCTTTCTTCCTCGTAGCGATGCCAGTTTCGCCCCGTCAGCGTCCGATCGTTCCGAGTAGTAAGGCCAGGAGCCCCGTTCGTAGCTTCTTTCATATGTGATATACTTGCATGTGCCAGGCCGCTTGAGACCGGGGCCGGTCTCACTCCAACCACGTTTCTCGTCCGAGGAAGCACTTGTCGGACGAGCAGTTGGCGAAAGCGAAGCAGAGAAAGGAAGGTGAGCTGGCCGAAGCTGCGAAGTTGAACCTGCAGGCGGGTCCATTTGGCTGACGACATGTTTGAAGTCGATATATGCCGATGTGACGACACAGATTGAGAAGGGTCGAGAGCATGAGGGGGGAGGCTCCATTTCCAAGTTTATTGGTTTCGGTTTGGATCTGAGGGTCCTTGGCTTTCACCTCGCTTTCTGCTGCCGTGTTGGGTACTCCAACAAATCCGCATAAAAACAGCTTTCATGAAGGGTTGTAGTTGTTGGATCCCTATCATACTCATCCATATTCTATATATATATATATGCATGCATCCATACATACATACATACATACATCTAATTATATAAACCGATGTTTGAGCAAGTTCCCAGAGGCAGGATGCTCACCTATTGAAACTGCATGATTGATAAAAAGGGCCGGAGTCTTTGAGACGGCATATAACCATTTTGCAACTTGAAAATCCAGGAAGTCTGGGCTCAGACGGCCTCTCAGCTGGCAAGGCTAGACTCTGCGACTAACGGTCTGAGAAGGTTTGATATGGTGACATGGCACGATGGATTGACGATGTGGCAGTCGCGCATCGCTGGTGCATTTGGTCCTGTGGGTTTGGAGCTTTTGCAGCAGTATGTCCGGCAGCTTCGGTTGTTGTCAGGTCTTGGTGCCAACAGTGCTTTGGTAGCTCTTGCGTCCTATCAGGTTGAGCAGGAACAATCGAACCGATTACGTTCTTCACCTGAGGTTGTTGCTTTCCTGCAGTTCTTGGAGGGCCTGCCTGTTGTCGATCGTAGCACGGTCTTCGCGATGACCGGTGAGGAACTGTATCCGTATAGGTCGAGCGGGACTTCGCTTTTTGATCGTGCCCTGCTTCAAGAGGAGGTCTTGACAGGCTTACAAACTATGAGGGAAAGTCTCGACCCTACCTTGAGTGTTCTTGAAACGTTAACTGAAGGTCCTCCGGGTCGCGTTGTGCCTGTGCAGGTGCGTGAGCCAGACCTTGCGCTTCCTCTTGAGCCGGAAAGACCCCATAGAGGTCGAAGAAGGCGCCGAGCACAGGCGAAGTCTCCTGTCCAAGATGCCGGTGCACATGAAATGGTTGCTTTGACCCCGGTGTGGTGCTTGCCCTCGGTCTGTGCCAACGTGGTGACTTGGTTTCCTGACAGTGGCCTCCAAGAACCAGAAGCTGAAGCTCAGGTTCAACGGCCTCGTCAGAGGCGTCGGTTTGAAAGTGTTTATCCACTTTCTGCGACTGACTATGCGAGGGCGATGAATGAGATGGACCGCAAGATGGGCTATGGGACAACGGAAGATAGAGTACTGAATGCTGAGCGTAGTGGATTGGCTTCAACGTCTGCCCTGCACGGCGACTGGCCTTGCCCGAATCAGCAATGCGTGAACAGTCGGCGATTGGTCTTTGCTAAGAAGACATGCTGCCCTTTGTGCAAGTCTGAGCGCCCGGTTGAAGTTTTGGATCCTCGTCAGGAACGGTTGTCCAGGGAGACTGCTACTTCTTCTCCTCGGTTGTCGTGACTCACACGTTCGGTTGGAACGGGTGTCCAGGGAGACTGCTGCTGTTTCTCCTCGGTTGTCACATGCTTCACACAGTAGGTTGGAACCCAGGGAGCGTGCTACCATTTCTTCTCGGTTGTCTGATGACTCACAACATCGGTTGGAACGGTTGTCCAGGGGGCGTGCTGCTGTTTCTTCTCGGTTGTCTGATGACTCACATCGGTTGTCTTCAGGCGAGCAGCCTCGGCGGGACAGATTGGCTAAAAGGCCAGTTACTCCTCCGAAAGCCACGCCGGTGCCGCGGAACAAGCGAGTGGCAGCAGTTGCTGACGATGCGACCTTGCCTGGAATTACCCCGAAGTCGGGCCTCTTGGCTCCTCCACGTTCACTTGAAAGTGTGGCTGAACCAACGCATGGGCCTGAGCATGATGCCAGTGACCGACGTGTTTTGGTGCCTTCGGGACGGCTATATCACCAGCCTGAAGGAACAGTAGGGTGACCTTGGAAGCCGCGGCAGCTTCTGTTTCTCCTCCTTCGTCGGGTGTTTTGACCTCCTCGCGAATGCCTCATGGAGATGATGAAGGTGCTGGCGGGAGTCTCCTGGCTAGGGCAACTACGACCGTGGCTAGGACTACTGAGAGCCGGGGATCGGATCGTTTCACTTCGTCTCACAAGATTGCAGGCGGAGCGAGCCTGGAATACATGCTGAGGTGTGATTCAGTGAGGGCGGTTGATGACCCTTTTGGTTTCCCTTTTTCCGCCGGGACGATGGTCTTCCGGCTTTCCCTCTGGGTGTCCCTGGTCTTGGATGCTCGGATTTCGGTGGGTGTGAATGGTCACTTCAGGAGGTCTCCAAAGATTTGGTTACGCCCCGGCCGGTCTTGGAGCTGATGGGTTGTAACCAATCTATCCCCAACTGCCTTGCGGTCTCCCCGACGATTCCATTCAGTCTTCATGACTGGTGTCAGGAGGTCTCAGGTAATGGCAGAAGTGCGGTTGTGCCTAGGACTGGCGTTGGTGCAGGACTACACTCAATTGGTGATCAACAAGAAGCTCAAAGGCCGGGGTTTGATGACGTCGTATTGAGGGACTTCGAGGGCAACATGGTCTCGATTCCGGTTTTCGACATCCCATTTGTTGTTGGAGGGCCATTGGGTCCTTGTGTCGAAGGAGGTTGGATTGCAGAACTGTGGGTCTCTTATCAAGGAGAGCCGGAAAAGGTTTGTTTTGTTTTGGGTTTTGGGCCATGGAAAATCCCTGCACAAGCGAGACTTTCTGTCTCATCTTCATGGGGTGCTTTGAATGTTGTGTATGAGTATTGGTCTACCAAACTTCGTACAACTTCATGGGCGGTTGAGGTTTCTGAGCGGGTTCGTCAACATATGATCCGCCTTTTGACTGATATGCCCCATGACTTCGACAGCAAGACCTCAACTGGAGATTTTGTCCATGTTGATCTGATTGCGCACGGTCGTCGTTCACAGTATATGTGGGAAGTCTCGGTTGTTAAGAAAGAGCCACATGATGGGCAGGTCTGGTTGTGTCTCTCTGAAGAATGGCACGCTTGGTTTCCGACCGCTCTCTCCCGTGTTCGGGCCCTTTTTCTTCGTCTTGCATTGTCAGGGTGTGGAGTCCTTGTCCTCTCTTCGGTTCCTGGTCGTACGGTGTTGACTAGGGTGCAGGATGAATTTGGCTTCTCAAGAGCTTTGGACCTGTTTGCAGGTATCGGAGGTTGGCAGGATGGTGTAAAGTCTGCCTGGCCGGTTTCATTCGTTTCGGTTGAATGGGACAAAGGTACAGCTTTGGCTTTGGCTACTTCCGGTGGTGTCCCTCTGATTTTTCCTGACCAGTTGGACCCAATCGTGGCAGAGACAGATTTTGCCCTTTGTGCGGACGTTTTTGACGAAACATGGTATAAGGTTTCTCTGGTTGCTCCTTTTGATGTGGGTTTTTGGAGTTCCCCTTGTCCATCATGGAGTCGTGCCGGTTACGCGCAAGGACTGGAATCGGATGAAGGATTGAAAATGCTTCAGGCTTTTAGACTGCTTGCTTTGCTAGGCGTGTCGCACAATGGCTTGGCTATTGGAGAAAATGTCTATGGGCTGCGGAATCACCCACATTTTGCGGTTGTTGAAGGTTTTGCACAGTTAGTGGGTGGGCACACACTGCAAGTGCTTACTCATGACCTTGCTATGGTGGCGCCGATGAAAGGGCTTCGGGTGTTCCTTGCGCAAAGTCCTCGCAAGGTTGATGCGGTCTCCTTTCACGTTGATTTTAAGACGTTTCGGTCTCGTCTCGGTTTGGGTCTTAGTGATGGGAAGGGGCGTTTGGACACAGCTATTCCAGATGTTGCTCTTGACCGTCTCCAGGATCTACGTTTGTTGCCCCTTGAATGGGCAAAAGAACTTGCAGGTCGAGGCAAGGATGACATTGATGGCAACTCGGTGTTGCAAGCCAGGGTTGTTGAGGATTCTTTCCCTACCCTTTTGGCAGCTTATAGGTCGCAACACCTATTGCCGGTTGATCTGCTACTTGGTAAAGGCTTGCTCACCTTTTTGGTTCAGGACACGGAAGGGCAGGTGCGTTAGTTGGACCACTTTGAGGCCGCGAGGCTCTTTGGTTTTAGAGTTGACGTTGTTTTGCCTGCTACTCCTGCTCGTGCAATGAAAGCGATTGGCAATGCGGTTGCTCCTGCGTCTGTCTTCGTAATTATTGTGAACTCAGTTATCCAAGCTAATTGGCCGAAGGATGCTTTCCTTGGTGTCGAATTTGAGGTTCACTTACTTGCCCTTCTCTATGGACAACGGCCGTTGATGTGTTTTGAGAGGGTGTCGGACGCTCGGTTGACCTTCTTAAGACTTGGGGGACTCCACATTGATCTCATGCCTTGGGAAAGCCATGTTGGTATGTTGTGGGTGAGTGGCGCCCTCCCGCTGACAGGTTACGGTGCGGCGAAAGATGGACTTTTTCACCAGCGTTGTGACCTGTTACCTTATGGAGCTGCATGGCCGGTTGCTGAGGTGCAGTGTTTTCTGCGTGAGGATGTGATTTATTTTTACCCTTTCTTTCGATTGGGTTGTTTGCGTCTGGAATCCGCGTTGCTGCGCAGTCAACCTTGGTGGACGGTTGGTGACATTGTGTTACTTTTTCCTCTGTCTGCGAGAAAACATGCGTTGGCTCAGATTGGGCTTCGTCGTGATGTGTCGATTGGCTTCTCTTCAGGTACCAATACCTTTTCTCTGCATGGGTCACTGGTCGAAGATCTTCAGCAGGTTGTCCTCTTGTGTGAGCGTGATCGTCGTGTGACGGTTGAATGGCGTGGGAAATCTTTTGCGCAAGTCTTGGATGAGGTTTTTCCTTATCATATGAGTGGGCAGGTTTGGAAGTTTTGGGACGCCATTGGCAAAGAGTATGTACCACTGCATGCTGCTGCAAGCGCGGGTGTCTTTCAGGTCTTCTTTCGTCCGGTGAAATATCTGGTCGAACCCTTTGGCTTCTTTTGTTTCCATCCTTTGATGTCTGTTACCCAGGTTC